AATATGGCGTCCAAGAATTAAAAAATTACTGAATTTTCTTAAGTTCGCTCATTACAAATTTCAAACAAATCCAAAATTCAAAATCCAATATGGCGTCTGAAATTTCCAAAAGTTCATACCTGAAGATCTTTATTTAAAAATAAGAAAACTGAAGTTTTGGAAATGACGAATTTCGTATAAAATAAAAAAATCTTAAAAAAAAAAACTGTTGGGGCCTAGATTAAATTTTTTTGGGCTGACCATATAGCAGACCGCCCTAACTATCCCTAATTTATAAATATAATTACTGTTATTATTTCATTATTTGATCATAAATTAATATTTGATATGTTTCCTCGTATATAATAAATAAAATTTTGCTAAACAAACATTTTGTATTACTCAACTTAAAATAACAGTTGAACCAACCGAAAAAGTTGAATGTGATACATAGCTCGAGATCAGTCATACATAACTCGAGATCAGGCATTTTTAAATAGATTATCTTATTTTTAGAAAGATTCACAGTCTATTTGACAGCTGACAACTGTGAGGGTTTTAATTTGACATGAAATTCGTGTTCAGCATGTCAAAAACGTAATCAGTGGTGTTTTCAAAAAGATTTTCTTAATTTTAGAGAAATTGGCAGTTAATTTGGCAGCTCTCAACTGTCAAACTTAAAATTGTATGGCATATTCGGATCTAGCATTACAACAATACCACGATCCCGCAGTTTTATTATAATCGTAACAGCCTTTCTAATTTTTCACGTAAAACATGGTTTCTCCGACCACTATGTGTGCCGGTACTAAAATAAATATCATATGGATTTTAACAAGAAAATTACGAAAACAATTCACTTCAAAATACAATACATATATTTATGTATAAAATTAGTTTATTATCAAGCAAACAGTTTCAATCTTTTGTAAATTGGTGAATTGTCCTAGTGTTCAATAGTGGTTCAGATGGATGTTTAGTTGGTTGAAGTGGATTGGAAAATTTTCCATTTTTAATTCCACAATTCTTACAACCCACAGCTATTTGGCGGCTTTAATGAAGTTCAGTACGTCATTCAGAGAGAGGCAGCTGCACTCTAAAATATTCTGCAGGAATGGCTTGCCGAGAGTAAGTTTGTAGGTATCTTCTTGGCTCATTCTTAAGAGAGCTTTGGTTTTAAGTGGGTCGTAGGACACCGAGTACTGCCGGGTAATCCCGTACGATGCTGCACGGTTCTACCTCTGCTTGGCCTCCAAGTGATAGATTTCGGTAATTTTTGCGTGGCACACATTCAGTGCGGAACCGCACTTTACTAGTTCGTCCGCTGCCTCGTTTCCGTAAATGTCCCTATGTCTCGGGACCCATATTAGGGTAATTTCGTATTGATCAGAGATATAGGCCAGCTCTCTCCTACAGTCCTTCACTAATTGAGATCTAACAGAGGTAGAAGAGTGTGCCTTAATGGCCGCTTGGTTATTCGAGAAGATATTCAGATGAATATTTGGGAAAAAATTAAAGGTAATTTTTATGTCAAGAGATTTCGCACAAAATTTAGATGGTTGTAAAACAGAAAAAGCAAAAATAATAAAAGAAAAACCATATGCATGTATTGTAAAATATACTAAGCTATACGCAATAAATATAAAAAAACAGGTTTTTTTTTGCAAAATATGCAAAAATATGCTCTAACGTTTGAATTCCATTTTAAAGGAAATTTCATGATTCGTAAAGATAACTTAACCATGTCCATTTGAAGCTGTTCAATAAAAACATTTGAATGAGATTGAGAGCCCTATTTATAAATAACCAGTTTAAGCAATAACTATTATAAAAATTAAACTTAGAAAAAAAATCTTTTCAAAATAATAAAAACTAAACATTAAAAGAAACATGAAATTAAAACCAAAGAAAAAAGTAAAAAGATGAAATAAGTTTCTAAAAATTTAATTAAAATAAAAAAAGAATATATATATATTTTTTTTTAAACAATAAAACAGAGGTAAACTTGTGTAGTAATAAAGGGACGGTACCTCGCCATTTTCCAAAATTCATAATAATCCTATTTCTGTCGTAACAGTACATTGACATATAAATATAATCTCTATTAAAGCTCGCAATGGAAAAGTTAAGTTTATTCTCTGTGCCACCGTGATAACTTTTTTCTGCTACTTTAAGCAATTTAAATATGATTTAACGTAATATTTTATGAATAATACCTTTACAAAACTTTTTATCTTTGCTAGCGTCCATTTTTGTTAACTTTTACATTCGACATTTCTCCTCTTTCTCAAAAATAATCGATAAAACTAGGTTGGACACCGAAAAGTTATCGGTTTAATCCGACATTATTTTATAGTGACAGATTAACGAGCGACGAATTTGGTATCGCTAAACTCTTTTTCTAATTACAGATTAGGGAGTTAGGCTTGAAAATGAGGATAATCTACTTATGTATATATAAACCTGGTATAAGAGATTGTTGTGTGTATAAACTTCGGGTAAATTTGCGTCCTTAAATTTCGAAACTTCCCTTGTTTCCGTATTTCTAAAATTTACCGTTATATGAAAAGTGGGCATAATTTTAGTCTGATTTCGAATATTTTCAACATCTTGCTTCTTTTGTGTGAAGTACAATAATCGTACCGAGTTTGGTAGAAATTGATAAAGCGGTTACCGAAATACTAGTGGGCGGTGACACGCCCATTTTCCAGAATTTGTTATAATCGTATTTCTTGCTAAGGAGCACGCATTAAGCTTTCTAACATCTTTCCAAGGCCTCCTTTGGCACGGAGCGGTACTTACCGCTCCCGAGCTAAAAGTTATACTTAACCTTACTTTACTTAGCGCTATTAGTTTTCGGAAACCGCCTCGGTCTTGAAATCATGTGATCGCTGTCTTATTTTCTGATAAAACTTTCCTGCCGCATTCCTACCTCCTAGCATCTGAAGCTCTTCGCACTCACAGCTTTTTCGTTCACGGTAAGATGTGATTGGTAGATGGAATTCCACTGCTTGTTTATATCCTGAAATTTCTCGATTTTCCATGTTTACTGGAGCTTTTTGAAGTGGAATTTTTATCGCGCTGCCTGACGCAATTTCTTTATAGCATGGCGGCCTATGCGAACCCTAGTACCCACGACAGCCGGTTCGACGTACCGGAATAACTTGGGTTTTACCCGACCAGGGGCTGTTGTTTCGGTTATCTAACCCTGTTTAGATCGGCGAAATCTCTCCAACGTTGTTCGTGCGTGGGACAAAATCTGCTCCACATTCTTCTGCTCATGGGTCATATAGAGTCAAACTCAGGCCCAGAAACCTACACCTGCTACGTACGCCCGATGCGATTGCACCCAAACTCCACCTTGGTCAGGTGCAACGGTTGGAGCCGCCTACGTACGTGCTCGGGCTCAGTAACTCACCGGCAGTGGACCAACACACAACCGTCGACAGCTCCTAGTCGCATTGGCTTGTGCCACTTTAAGGTATGTTCAAGACTGCGCAACCCACGAGATTGCAAGAGCGATTATGTGGGCTCCTGCTGTGTTGCTCAGTGGCATACTCACCATGCGACGCCGCGCTCTACCACCACAGCGCAGCACACACAGCAGGCGGCCGGCAGGCAACACAACTCTGGAAGTTGGCGAGCGAGATAACGGTGGTGACCTAGCGTTCATCACGCAATAGTATTACGCACCCGACGCACCCACTAGTATTATGGGCAGCTGCAGTAGTTCGCCAGACATAAAAATTGTAAGAGCCGGTCAGTCAAACAGCATTACGTTGCGACCTATGCTGACGCTTTCACCGGACCACCTGCCCATAATCACCTCGATCGATAAACCTGGTGACTTTGCTTCCGCGGAACATCGAACCTTAATCAACTTTTACAAAGCTGATTGGAAGTTACTGAAAGCCCCTTATCTGCCCTTCCCACACCAACGGACGTTCACATAGGTGAGCATAAGTTCTGCAGGGTTGTGACTGCTGCTACAGCCCGCTTCATTTCAGTTGGATGTATGACAGATATCCGTCCGAAATCCCCTGCAGAAGCGGCTGTCCTAGCCGATGAGCGTGACAACCTTCGTAAGTCCGATCTCGGAAATCCACGCATCAGGGATGTCAACACGGAGATTCGGCAACTCGTGAACGAACATTAGCGGAAAGAGCATATCGTCACCTGAGTGGAAGATCGACCTATCTCTGGAGCCAGTTCGAAAGCGCTGCAGTAGCTATAACTTCTACCTTTGTAAATTATTGTTGATTTTCAATAACATTTTTCGTAAGAAATGGCCTCAAACTCAATAAAATTGTTGAATATAATTCTTATAAGGCCATAAATAACAAAAAAACGTTTAAGGTTAGTCAAACATACCGAAAGGAAGTCGGAGTCACATTAAAGTCGATGTTTAAAAAATCGGTAAAACTGCCAGCGATGTATCGTCAATTCCGCGATGTTACCGGTCTTTTTCACACGCTCGAAAATCTCGTTCGGGTTCAGCTTTTTTCTCTCGCATGTGAGATAGAGTTGTGTTGTCTGGCTGGATGTTTTTACTGTGAAGAATTCTGCGATATGAGAAAATTATAGTTGAAAGCATGCGAGATGCCGGAAAAAGTGTGCTTCGTACTTTTTGCGGTCTACACGTGCAAGATCTCGCATGCGTGGTCACGCGAGCGAGATTTGCCAGGACGTGAAGACGGCCGGTTAGTAAATTGTAAAAATCGATGGTAAATATATCGAATATTGAACCGATATTATCGATGTTTCAGAAACATCCATGTATCCCTTGCACTCCTATAAATAACATTCTACATACTGGCAAAACAAAAAGTTGTTGGGAAAAATGAAAGTAGAAAGATTAAAGTTAAGGCGGAATTTTTGGACTTCCGGAGAAATTGAGTGTATGCTAGATTTGCTTCGCGAGGTGCATAAAATGCAAAGAAACACAGCAACAACCAATTACACGTTTGTTCAGATAGCCACTAAGATGAAGAGGCGTGGATTTCCTAACAAGAGCGCCCAGCAGATACGGCGCAAGTGGTTCCAAATGAAGTCTGCTTATTTGTGCTACAAACGAGGCAATGTCGAAAGGTGGGTACAGTTCATATAAATATACATATATGTTGCACACGAAAGGATTAAGGAAATGTGGCTATTTACATTGCACCTTTTATGTGCAGTGTTGCCATACCTTAATACTCCTATATTGGTACTGCTAAGGTTAGTACACATTCTCGATCAAGTTTGTCAGTGAAGAATTTGTCACTTTTGACTGACGCCTTGTAGCGGTCTAACTACCAGCTATGGCTCTGCACATTGGTCGTCCAATCATAGTTGCTTCATCGTCACAATCATGATGCAACGATACTTTCGCACACTCGGTCGTGATATTTCAATTCATTTGGCGTCTAAAAATTCACTTGGAGCAGGTATTTTCTATTTTTCTGGTTGATATTTTCGCGAAATATTTACAAAAACCTGCAATTTTAAGATATAGACTGTGCTGCTGCTTCTTTACTTTTCCTGAAATGTGTTTTGTGCATGCACACAGAGACTACAATTTCGTCATATAGTTAAAACGCTGATATTTATTGAATTTTAATGCAATTATACACTTTAATAATTTCCACAGATTTTATGCAAAAAATACAAAATTTTTATGCAATTTTAATGCAAATATTAACTTTTTCACTAATTTTCCCCCTTAAAATGTAAACAAACAATGCGTGCACAACGATTAGCAAACGACAGTGCCGTACTTATCCGTTTCTGCATCTACGGTTTGCCGATAACGACAAGTGTGCAGATCTCCTTTAAAATGCATGTGCTCTGCTCAAAATTTCAGGGCGAGACGATAACGCAACTTTGATTGGACGACAAGTGTGCAGATAGCCTATGTGTGGGATCAAATCCTTATTCAAGCCTCAAGCGAAACTCATCAAGGAAAGATACTTCCTCCAGTAAAATTTACCTGACTATTTGTAACTAAATCCTAGAGTACCGGGCGGACTAAATTACCCGCTGTTTGATTTACCATCAAGTGTATTTCACTCACAAGGAAGTTCTTGATCGTCCAACGTACAAGTTCCAGCAACTTTTCGCCTTAATGTACTCACGTCGGTCTCGTCTTCACACTCATGGCAACTCTAGAAGGTTCTTACCGAAAATTATCGTTATCGAACGCTCTTGCGCTTGTTTTCTGTAAACGTTCGTCATTTATCGAACGTTTTCTTATTCTCCCGCTGTCGAATTTAAACATTTGTTCATGTCTTCGCAGTATTCGCCTTATACTAAGTTCACATATAAGTAGATTATCCTCATTTTCGAGCTTAACACCCTAATCTGTAATTATAACAAGAGATTAGCCGTATAAAATTCGTCCCTTGTTAATCTGTAATTATAAAATAATCTCAGATTTAACCGATAACTTTTCGGTGTCCATCCTAGTTTTATCGATTGTTTTTGCGAAAGAGAGGAGAAATGCCAAATGTAAAAGTAAACAAAAATGTACGCTAGCAAGTAAAAGAGGTTTGTAAAGGTATTTTTAATAAAATGTTAAGTTAAAATATATTTATATTGCTTATTATAGCAGAAAAACGTGATCACGGTGGCACAGAGAAGAAACATAAATTTTCCTTGAGATGTGGGAATAACAAGCACAACAAATTTGACGGCTAATAATCTGAGATTTGCCTGTGTAAACGGGGTGATTAAGAAACTAGCTTTGATTGAGATAATATTGATATGTGAACATAGTTTTAGTGTTTTTGTCTTCCATTTATTGCTACTACCCTTTTTAAGGTTGCTCTTGATACCCGAGAAATTTCGCTCTACAATTGCACAATTCGTCGACAGAGAAGTTCAGCCAACAAACTATCAGGAAGTGTCACCGTCACCGTCTCCGCCACCTGCGCCGTCCTCATCACTTCCACTACCACCGCCAATAGCTCCAGAAGTAGTTCAAGCACCTACGCCTCCGTTAATTAATAGCAATACAAAAGCTAAAGTGCAGGACACATTCAATGCCCCAAAACCGCCAGTTGGTAAGTGATTTGGAAATTTTTAATTGAAAGAAATATTTAATAATTTTTTCTTTATAGCTTTTGGAAAACGTGTTTACAGAGATAATAGATTTGATGAGTTCCTTGTTCGTGTAAAACAAACACACAAAATCATTAATAATGATTTTTTGAATATGCAGAAAATTCTAATGGATTTCGAACATGCTTGTCAAAAAGAGAGAGACGCTAAAATTGTATCATTTATCAAAAGTATTAATTATGATTTTTAAAAAAGTGAATAACACCACTTTTTACTCTTATTCCACGCAATAAAATAGTTTTTCTAGAAAGCTTTAATTCCAAAAGAATTTAACTTTTTTATAAGACTTTTCTTGTTAGTCTACTGATTTTCTATGCAACACCAAAAATATTTTGGGGATTCCCTTAATCTCGTAAAGTTTTAAACCGTCTAAAACTGTAAGTTTACGAGGCTTTTATGGGAACACCCCTTTGTGAAAAGGTGTAAATAGGTGTGTAAAGTGACTGACAGATCAACCAGGATTTATTGAAGCAGTTTTTGTTTCGTAGTATTTTCCATAACATCCCGCCTTCTTGTTGTTGTAGCAGCATACAAGTTCCCCAAAGAGTTTTGGGGAGTGTTGCTGGAGTGCCAATCCTTGGCCAGTTATAAATCTACGTCGTTCCGGTTACGTTGACCCGACTGTCGGGGGAACGTCCCGCCATCTTGTATCTATCACTCGTGGCTAAAATACAGTTAAAAATGCCGAAAATTAGCAGAAAACCCAAGTCCCCTTTCAGACAGTTCAAGTTTTGTAAGCAATTTGTTTCGTATTCTCTTTTGTGTTTTCTATTTGCGTCAACTTTTATTCAAGTTCTTGGTTCTTTAAATGGGAAGCAACGAAAAGATCCAAAGAGACAGGAAAACTATAAACGAATTGACGGTACGGTGGTATCTGTATTCTTCCCTTCTATTCTCACCTCCTTCGCCATGGAACGAGCAAACTTGAAAGCAAGATTTGACGTGTCTAAAAACTGACGTAAGTGAATACAGTTAGGTCGGTGTTATGCAGAAATTTTGTTTGGCAAACTGCGTGTAATTGTTGTTGCAGCAAACTCAAAGAGAGCGAGTTTGGCGACTCTCACAGCAAACTAAAGTTGTTTGGTCAAACTGCAGCAAATTCGGTGTTGTCATATACAAAAATTTTAAATTTTGCGCGTTATGTACATCTGAAATTCTCATTTCGTGTTGGCAATAGCCATGAAAACCATAATGAACGTGCAACCCTGTGCCAAACTCGACTTAACCACCTCCGAGCGAACTAAGCAGCCGCCATTTAATTTGGCAAACAAAAGTTTGTCTGCATAACACCGACCTTACTGGATGAAATTCATTCATTTTATTCGCATATTATTTTCATTAGGGGAATGCGCTCTTATGTGTATTCGTTGTATGTTGTGTAATCGTAACTGCATGAGCGTGTGATTTGTTGTTGCTAGCGGTACATCAAATACACATGCAACAGCAACCACACGCTCGTCCAGTTACACTTACGTAGGATACATCGAATACACAGAAGCGCGAATGCCACTTTATTTTCATTATTTTATCGTACATTTTAGTATTAAAACTTCGGCGCCTCGGCAACACTGAAGTTTACGGGGTTGTTTGCGCATCAAATTTACCTCGTAAATTTATGAGGGGCTCGTAAATAGAGCTCCATACAAGGCGTATTTAACAAGGTGGTGTTGGCCGTATATAAGTAAAAAATTACACTAACAAATTATACGCTGATGTCCATACTGTCATTGGTATGAATTACAACAAACACATCATTTTGACGTAATGGCCTCCACGGCGAAAAACTCAGCTGGCGCCCCAACACCACCTTGTTTAATACACCTTGGCTCCATACAAATTTTGCCAGTTCTTTTACGAGCCTCTTAAATTTACGAGGTTTACGAGTTTAAGGGAAGACCCCTAGTGTAGTACACGCGCACTATTTTAGAACACGAATTTAACATTTGGCTACTCGATTAATTTTACAACTGTTCTTGGCAACTCGATAAATTTTATATACATACATATATGTTCTTGGCAATACAGCTTGGTGTTATTTTTCTGCTCATGATAAACAAGACAGCAGATTAGTTTAAGTTTAATCGTTGTTGTTTAAAAAAATCCTGAAAATGTCATTTATATATCTTATACCGGTCGCAGTTTTTCTGCTGTTTCAGATAACATTTCTTGGCACGTAAGTAAATTTGCAGGAATTCAATTGCGTACTAAGCTTTTACGTGGGCATGGATTGTTTTTTTTTTTTAGAAAACACTAAACGCACTAACTCCATTGATTTTTTTATTTGTATTTTAATTATATGGATCACAAACATTGTATACATATTTTAGTAAATATGTTTATATTTACGTACATAGATGCATTTCCCTAAATTAAAAAAAGCCAAGGTCAAAAGTTAAAAATCATGAGATATCTGAAATTATGCACGCATCCCCCCTTATCTTAAAATCGTGGTATTCTTCAATGTATGCTTGCATAAATTTATTTGGTATATTTTTAGTTATATAGCTGCTGTACTACAGGGTCATGTAGTGCCCACTGTGCCATATATCAGTGATGCTGCTACATATTCTCCAGAGAGTTGCGTATTCGCCCAGCTCATAAATATGGGAAGCATACTATGTAAGTGAAAATATTTGTAGCTTTAATGCGAATTCCCAATTGTTCATTTTAACACTTTTTTACAGTGGGCATCACAATTTACATACGTTATAGACAAATTCAACAACTCTATAGCCATCATCCCGATTTGGGCTCTTTGCTATTGGTGTACAACAAGATTGCATTTTGGTTCGGATTAGCTTCTTGTTTGGGTATAAGCATTGTTGGAAACTTTCAGGAAACAAATGTACGGATCGTGCATTTTACGGGTGCATTTTGTTGTTTTGGCAGTGGTACAGTTTACTTTTGGTTGCAAGCATTGATCACCTACATGGCGTATCCGATTGCGAGTACGAAATTATATGCACACATTCGTTTGGGAATGTCCATTTGCTGCACGATATTATTTATTTTGATTGCTGTCACTGGTGTCATGTCACACATTCTTTTCAAAGGCGAAAATCCAAGACAATGGTAAAATAAGAATAACAAAAAAGTTTCCGAAAAACAAAGGTAATAATATTATTTTACTAGGTACCCTTCGGACGGTGGCTGGTATTTCCATGTTATAAGCTCAATATCGGAATGGATTATGTCTACTATTTTCTGCTTTTATATTTTGACTTTCACGGAGGAGTTTCGCGATGTTAGACTTGATCATCCGGAACTGACGTTGATCTCCTATTCAATAACTATAACAGACTAAAATGAATTTATTAAAGTGATTGGATTCTACTTCATTTACAAACCAAACAACGATTAATATGTATCCATATACTAATTACATGTAGTGCATATGTACATGCATACCATGTAATTCCAAAGTAATATAAAAGTGCTGTGATAAGTAACTTTTCTTTGATTAAAATATTACACAGCAAATATGAATTATTTTATTTCAGGAGTACAGAAAGTATACCTTTTATTTTCATTCATACAAATATTTAAATATAATATACCAATGCCGAGAAAGGCACTTGCTACCAACCAATATTGGCCATAAGAGTATTGTATAAGAACTAAGAAAGAAATTCAAAATAAATAAATAATGGTTAATATTAAAACAGAGTTAAGCATTAAAATATTTGCTTATATTATTTCATAACTTGTAATCATCTCTTAATTATATTATTAGCCAATTTTGGGTATTTTCCATTCTTTCAAAAATGCTTTAATACAATAGTTTTTGAATTGAAGTGTACTTATCGTATTGAAATATATCGTTTAACCATTAAAGCATCTTTGTTTATATTTTCATACCATTTTAAGTTATATTACCATCGAAAAGAAGGTCATATCTGCAATTTTTCAGATATTAACTTTTTTCAAATATTCCGTTAGGTGGCTCTTAGATGCGATGCTATACTAAAATTGTCCTTGAGCGAAACGAAACTACAACCACATGGAAGAAAAGTTCTGAACCAAAACGATGAATCCGCCTTTATAGAATTATTGGTAACTATTTAAGACGGGTTGTGCGCACCCTTACTTTGGTCGAAGACTATTTGTCTTCTAGTTGCCAAGGTAAGTGGAAATTAGTGACACAATTGAACGATAACATAACACATACAACGTTTTGGTTGACTACAGTCAGGTCTACGTAACGGGAACGACCCATATTTATATCTGCCCAAGAACAGTCACTCCAGCATCATTCCCCAAAAAACCCATTTGGGGAATTTGTGGGCTGGTAATAGAGAGCGAAGACGTCCCACTTTTGAATCGTGAATGTTTTCTTCTTCGTGCCCTAAACAGCACAAATCGCCAAAGTGACAAACTGCAAATCAGCTGTGTTTGCCTGTTACATATATGTACCTGGGTTGTTGCGAATATTCGCATTCGCAACCGCAGAGCTTCGGCATTTATTTTAATATTCGTATTCGCAAAAATCAATGCGGATCTTTTGCGAATGCGAATATTGAAGGGACCAAAAATTACAGTTATTTTTTTACGAGTTGAACTTTGTTTATTCCGAAATAAACGTCCTATCCGGGTAATAAACAAACCGCTTATCCGAATTAAACAAGTTTGGTATCCAATGAAAGAGGACTGAAATAGCTTTAAAACTGAAATGTCAAAACGAGAAAAGCCACACATTCAAAAATATTTCAATAAAAAATGTTAATTAAAATAGAACAAACATTGGGTCAGGTATGTATTTACATGAATTTCTATAGTATTAAGTTATAAAAAAATTTAAATAGAGGTGGTAACCTTCATTCGTTATTTCTGTTTAAAAGCTATTTCAGTCCTCTTTCATATGATACCAAATTTGTTTAATTTGGATAAGCGGTTTGTTTATTATCCGGATAGGACGTTTATTTCGGAATAAAAAATATTAGGTCAAATTTAACTCGGAAAAAATAGCTGTTATTTTCGGTCCCTGGAATATTGTGCAAGTGCTCAGACGTATATCTAACCAGTCACAGAAGAAAGCATTAAAAATGAGTTACAAAAACTAAAATCGAAAAACGCTGATGACGTTTAAAAAGTTTTTATTAAGTACAATGTTCCATTTTTTAAATTTAAGTACTAAAAACATTCAGTCTTATCATGAGTTTAATTTTCCCCGAACCGGTTCACTTTTCACTTTTGGTTTTCATGTACTATTTACTATGGGCGGAATACAAATTTTCGGGAGAATTTTTTTTTTCGGGCAAAATTCAGGATAAGGC